TGGGGGTGCATACGGTCACCCTAATGAGCGCAGAGTGGCGGAAGCATGTCTACTTGGTGAGAAGTCCCGCCCTCTGTGGCCGTCTCACAGCACGTCCCACGGGCTCAGGGCACCCTGCAGCCGCTGCATCTGCCCTGTAAGCATTCATGGGCAAATGCCACCGCCAGGTCCAGGTGGTGCTGGCTCCCTGCCCACTGCCAGCACAGGAAGCAAAGGCAGGGTAGCACCCACGCGGGACGCCGATGCCTCCCAACAGCCCCAGGCTGCCCCTCCACTGCCAACCGCACGGGACTCCCGGACAGCCTAGGCAGCAAGGGCCTGCTCCACAGCCCTCACGCACCCCCAGGCTGCCATCCTGCCACACGCCGGCCAGGGCACAGACCAGTTGCAGAGTTTAGATGCGGTGAGGATGGGGCAAATCCTGCACCCCCCCCCACCTGCACCTCCCAGCTCCACTCAGGGCCAGACCCCCGCACCAGCGACCCCGCCCACCAGCCACGGCTCATCTTGGGCCTCCGATGGGCCTCTGTGATCAAAGGAGACCTTGCCTAGTCCAGGAGAGGCTTGCCAGAGTGGGTGTGGCCTGGCCTGCTCAGAACTGTCCTGTCAGAGTGGGCGGGGCCTACTGGGCAGTGTGGTCAGGTGGGTGGGGCCTGTCCAAGGTGCGCCTTCCCTTACACACAAAGAACCGTGGGCCTTCAGGGATGAGGTGAAGTCAGACCACCTTAAAGGCTCCCACGGCAGCTGAGAGAGACTGCTGGGGCAGGCAGGCCGACTCTCAACTCTGGAGCCCCACAGACCATGGGCTAGCTAAGTGCAGGCCAGTGCCAGGGCATGGGGTGCAGAGCAGCCTGGCACACACCACATGCTAGGAGCTAAGCAGACAGGATGCACCTGCACCAGGGGCCAGAGGGCCCTTCAAGCTGGAGACAGCAGAGGACAGCAGGGCTGAAAAGGGGCCCAGGTTGACCAGAGGGTAGGAAGCAGTGAACTGTGTGTCCGAGGGACCCGGCACTCCATGGATCCCTGTGTGGAGAAGAGGGCAAGGCATGTACCAGTGGGTAGCGAGGGACCCGGACATGGCAGGGCAGCAGAGGCCAAGAAGAGGTAGCTCATGCAGGGAGGGGCTCCCCAACCACTTCCTTGAAGACTTGGGCTTGGCGCATAGGCACCCAGTTCCCAGCAGAAACCCCAGGCAGGGTAGCAGGATGGCCCCAACACTGGGTAATATTAGCCGGGCAAGAGTCCAAGTCCCATGTCCTGCCTTCCTGCCAGACACCAACGGAGCAAGGAAACTCCACTTCTCTATAACCAGTGACGGCAGTCCCTGCACACCTTGGGGCCAGCTGTGTGCACACCAAGCTCTGGGCCAGAGGAGGGTGTGGATGCCTAGCCTGGCTCAGGGGGAGAGCCTGGCAGCTGGCAGGTCTCAGGCACCCTGAAAGCCAGCCCCTCCCTGCCCACTGTGGCGTGCTGGGCACGGGTGCGCCCAGCCTTCTCAGCCCTCTAGCAGACCCGCACCTTGGCCTACCATGTTCTGCCTTGCCTGCCTGGGCACGACACAAGAGGGACAGGGAGAAGCGGGGCTACTGCCCACACCCGCCACCCTGGGCAGGTGAAGCAGAGGGCCCCCACCCAACACACTCCTAGGGGTAAAGACCTTCCCTGGACACGTGATGTCAGGTGTTCTCAGGTGGCTGGCAGGCATCCCATGACAAATGGCCCCCAAGAAGTCTCCTGGTCTGAGGCACAGGGCGGCCAGGGAGAGCAGGGCCTCTGTCCTGGCCTGGCCAGGCTCAGCAGAGTTGAGCCTGTGGCCTTGGGCAGCCAGGTCAGAGCACTATGGCTCGGTGAGCACCATAGCTGGCCTTGGGCCCCTGGCCCCACACCAGAGCAAGAGCCCAGCACAGGTGGCCACCGCCAGGTTCCACGGTGCCTGCGGAGTGCCAACTGGACGCTGTCTCCGAGACCCTGAGAAGCCCTCCCTTCTGTCCAAATGCCTTCTCTGCTGGAGCCCCATGAAGCCGGTCTCCGCGGCAGCCCCTAGGAAATGCAGCCTCCCCAGGCCCCAGGGCCCTATCCGGGATGTCTCTTGTGGCTGTCCCCAGGAGCAAAGGGAGGAAGAGGTGGGTCCTGAGGACGCTCAGGGGCTGGGAGGGTGGGAGGAGCCAGCCTGGAACCTGCTCAGCTCTCAGTCCCCAGGCCTGAGCGGCCACGCGGCTGCTGAACAATGCAGTTTTGAATTCAATTAAAGCGATTATCTGTTGTGCCAAATAAATTGTATACAGCATATACCCCAGCACTCCGCACCTCCGGGCTCATTATTCCCTAACTGCTTCCTCCTGTTTATGCGCTCTCAAATTAAATTGCTGATAATATGCGCCAAAATAAAAAATGAGCACACCTTGTCCCAAGAAAATTGATTCTCCCTTTCCCTGGACTGGCGATTGCTGGGTTTTACACTCTCTGCTCCTGGTGATCGTCAGTAATTCAATTTTCTTTTATTAGCCCCCTTATCTGCTAAGCAATATAGCGGAATACAGTGGCAGAGCTGACCTCTTTCACACGGGTAAATGTTTAAAATCTCTTCCCTGATTAATTTTGCCAGTTAAGAAAAAGAGGAGAAATGGCCCGGCTCTTAGCCATCACAATGAATAAAGCTTAATGTTGATTGTGATGGAATTTCTAATGCCAGGGAAATTGATTGAACGCGGCAATTACCCCGCAGTAGTAACTCGAGGGAGATGGGATCGCTTTCTCCTGGCCGTAGCCTTTTGGTTATTTAAAACAATCCAATTTGCAAGGATAATTATGTATTAGTGTTTTATCTGCCACTTGAAATGAACAGGGGAGTTTCGGTACTGGCCCAGCATTAGCAGGTTATTGCTGCAAATTACTTGATATCTGCTTTCCTTCACATAAAGAGGAAATTAGGCGATCAATTACCAGAAAAAGGTGGACAAAGGGGCTGAGAGGGGCAAGTGCGCCCCCTACTGGCGGCGGGGCTGCGCAGCTCCCAGAAGCCTCTCCCCCTCCCACCCAGAGTAAGAGCCTTGGGTCCTCCCTGGATGCTCTGGGAGAGAAATGAGAGGACTCCACCAGCCGGAGGGTGGGCAGCCTTGGCTGGGCCCCTCTACTCCATAGAGGCTCAGCCCTCCCGGGTGGCAGTACCCCAGTACCCAGAGTACCCTCCTGTGTCTATCTACAGCTGCCTGGGGAGCCAAGAGCCCTGGGGCTCAGGACAGGCAGGGAGGGAGCCTGGGGGAGCTACACAGCGGCTTCCTGAAGTCCTGGCCAGCCCACACCATTACCTCCACCTGCCTGGGGTCTCGAGATGGCTGGCTGAGGCCGCCTGCCCACGTGGCTACAGGAGGACACAGGCACCAGCACCGCACTCAAGGCCTCTCTAGGCCTGAGCAGGCCTGCTCCATGCCTGCTGGCATTCCAGGGCCCAACACACGCCCAAGAACAGTGACCCTGAGTCCCGGCTCCCGCCCCTGGAGACCCAAAGCAACTCCTTCTCCTTACCAAGGACTCTGAGACCCTTCCTTATGACCTGCCCCAGCCCCTTTGGCCCACTGCTCCTGGACGACCTCCTGGCCACAGGGCTCCCTCCAGCCCCATCCTCAGTCTGCAGAGCAGGCACTCCGGGGCGGGGGGGGGGGGTGGGGGGGGGTCCAGGGCTCCAGGGCCCCAAGACTCCAGGGTCCCAAGGCCCCAAGGCTCCAGGGTTCTAGAGTTCCAGGGTGTCCTCCACACCCAGCAAACCTGCTCCCTCCCCACCTGCAGCCCAGTCTGCTCCCTCTTCCTTGAACACACTCGTGACCAGAACGTGCCCCAGTGCTCCCTGGCACCCAGTCTCTGGAAGCCTGCTGCCTGGGCACAGTGCTGCAGTTCTCAGGGGTGGGCGGGTGAGGGGGTGCCCGAGCAACAGCTCCTTTCCTCACTCTGGCTGCCCCTTCGACCCCCACAGGCTCTCATGCGGAAGCTGCTCCCTGGCCTCCCGGCAAAGGTGCCCTGGGCAGGCAGGACGAAGACGGAACCCCTCACTCTGCACTGCCCAGCTGCTCCCTATGGGTCCGCATGCACAGGAAACAGCAGCGCCCCACTCTGCTCTAGGCCAGAGAAAAGTAGGCAGGGGCCTGGCTGGAGCACCTTGGGCTCCTCCTGAGCCAGGGCCACCCACTACACTCCCACCTCCTGCTCAGGCCCTCTGGCTGCAGTCACATTGGGATGGCCATCCCGGCCCTGGAACACGGGACACAGACAGAAACAGCCTGTGCTGCTGGTCTCGCAGCGCCAGCCCCCCCCAACACAGACCCAAGCCCAGCGCCTGGGACCCAAAGCGCATTCTCCAAAGCCTTCCTGTTCTCAGCAGGGCTCCCAGAGCTTGACACATAGCCCGTGGTCAGGAGCACACCCCCCCAGCCTGCCCAGGCCACCACAACCAGCCTGCTGGTCCCTGACACGCCATGGTCCCCAGGCCTCACAGGAGCCTGGGACTCGGCTGCACACACAGCCACCAGCTCCAAGGGATCGGGTACACCTACACAAAACCCAGGGTCCTGCCAACACCACCCTCACTAGGAGCACCTGCACATACCAGCCCAGACTCTGCCAGAGTGGGGTGCTGAGACCCGCACCAGGGCCAGGGCCTGCCTCACCCCTGCAGCTGGGCATGCCCAGATCACCACAAAGGGCTCTCAGAGCCCCGGGCAGCTCCTCTCTGCAGCCCACCAGGTCCTCAACTCTCAGGGACTGACGCCTCCATACGGCAGACCTGCACTCCACAGCAGACCACAGAGGGCCCGGGCACCCTGGGAAGTCTTAGGTGTGAGCTGCAGCCCTCTCCTCTCCCAGGAGGGAGGACACGGGGTGACAGTGGGTGTGCAGAAAAGGCTACCAGCACGCTCTCCGCCCTGCTCTCCGCCGACCTGGCCAGGCAGGGCCTCTACAGCCAGGGCACGTGCACCCAGCTCCCCCGGGCTCTCCCCACCTACCTTCCTTGGAGGAGAGGTGGGCCTTGCTGGGGGGCACGCGGCACAGCCGGTGCCTGGAGACCTGCAGCAGGCCTCTGTTGGGGGTCTTCCTCAGGACTGGGCTGCTCCTGGCCCGCGAGGCCTGTCTCCTCCGGAGGCTGGGGTGGGTCTTGGCGAGGGCAGCAGGTGAGGGGCTGCTCTTGTCCCCAGGAAGGCTATAGGAACAAGACACGGCAGCTCCCAGCAGCTCCCAGCAGGCCCAAGGACAGTCCTGCCCGGCCCACACAGACACAGGGGCCCCAAGCAGGATGGACCTGGCTCAGAGATTCCTGAGGCTCCACCCCACTCACCCCATGAGCTGCTCCCTCCCCCCTTCCTAGCCAGGTGATGGGCAGGCTGGCTCCAAAACCACAGAGGGCCCTGGGCCAGGGCAGGCTGCTCCCCAGAGAGAGCAGAAGCCCTTGAACTGTCAGGGATGTCCCACCCCTCCCCACCTCCACAGGCCAGATGGGCCCTGCACAAGCCTAGGGGAGGAGACCCCCTCCCAGGTCCCATAAGAGGGCTGCTTCTCAAGGCCCCCTCTCCACACTCCCTTGAACGCAGCACCCCACCAGTGCAGGGCAGAGCCAAACCCCTCCCTGGAACAGAAGGAATGGCAGGCAGGGGGCCATGTGATTCCAGAGGGGACCCCGACAGTGTAGGCCAGGACAACTGGCCAGAGCCCGAGTCCAAGGTCAGGCCACAGGAACAACTTCCTAGGGGGAATTTGCAAGGAGCCTGCTGGGACAGCATGTGCCACTTTGGTGGCAGCCACTACTATCACCACCACCACCACCTGGTCGCTACTGAACTCAACTGAGTGGCCCCACAGGGTGGTGGGCTAGGAAGGAGACATGTCTACAGCAAGGAAGTGGCTGGCCTGGTCACCTGACACAGGGGTCAGCCAGCACACTGAACAGTCTGTTCTCTCTGGGGTAAGGGCTATCCTCCCAGGGTGCCCAACGCAGACTCCCAGAGCCCTGGGCTGGGAAAGGAGCCTACAGGGCAAGGCCTCCTACAACCCATAGCTCAGGCCAGGGCGGATACACTGCTCTTACACTGGCGGGGGGGTCACAGCCTGGCCTGCCACAATCCCTTGGTGCATAGGCTCTATGGACCTGCAACGGAAGCTGCCCGGCAAATGCCCAAAGAGGCTGCACGATGGCCCGAATTCCTCCACTCAGGGGCCAAGTGTACAATGCTGGCCCCATCTGCCCAGACAGGATCCCACGGAACCATGGAGGGCAGGCGGGCAGACACCTACCTGGTGGTCCCCCGTCTCCGAACGATCTTGGTGCGGCTCTTCACTTTGTAAGCTGAGAGTGGGGTCTCACCCAAGGGTGGCTTCGAACCACTGGGTCCCACTGCTGATGAGTCCCCTGGAGGGGACCTGGATGGCACTGGGGAGAGCTGGGAGGCATGCTCCTTGCTGCCAGTCTCTGATGGCCAACGGAAGGAGGAAGAGGAGGAGGCAGAGGGGCTAGAGGCCTTCCACTTGTACTTGCTTGGCGAGGGCCCAGGCTTGGAGGACGCAGCCGGCTTCCTGGACTTCGCCTCTGGGCCAGCTCGGGGCTGAAGCTTCTCCGTCTTTTCTTCTGTGCCAAAGGGCACCTTGCACATGGTCTCTGAGGCCACTCTGGGATTCCCGGCCTTCCGAGTGGCCCGGGGACTCCTCGCTGAGGCAGCTACCCACTTGTAGCTGCTCTTCCGGAACTTGTCTGTCCGGCAGGGTGCGAGCAGCAGAGCCTCTCGAGCTGGCCTGGGTCCTGAGGCAGGTCTTGGAGGGCTGGCTGGTGGTCCAGAGGGGGCCAGCTGACGTGGAGGTCCACCCGCGAGGAGCTGCGCAGCACAGCTGCCTGCAGAGGGCGTGCCCGCCTGCCGGCCTGGGGCCTCAGCAGCACGCGCAGGCAGGGTGGAGGGCGTGGGGCGGGCCTTGGCTGCAACTGCACTCTCACTGGCTGTCCGCCGGGGCTCTGAGGGGCTGTTGCTCACACTACCAGCAGACTTCACCACCCGCGGCTTGCTGGGCTCCTCCTGGCAGACCAGGACAGGGTAGTCTGCACTGCAGCTCCCCCTGGCTCTTCCTGGTCTCGAGGGCTGCAGCTGGCCACCTGGAGGCTCACCTTCACCACCCTGGGGTCTTTGGTTACCCCAAGGGGTATCCTCATATTCCTGAAAAGAGCCCTGCTGGGCCCCTGAAGCACTGGCAGAGGCAGACTTTGATGGTGGCTTAATTCTGATGACCATGTTCTGATCCGGGCTGAGCTGGACCTGTCTCTCAAGAACACACTGCTGGGGGTCAGGACCCTGACTGCTCCTGCCCCTACCCCAAAGAGGTGATTGTACAGCACGGTCACCGGGGGGGTCTGAAGGCCCTGGGGGCATGTTTACAAGAGAGTATTTCTTGCGCCACACAGGCCCATGGTGCGAGAAGCCTCTCCGGCCCGGACGAGGGTAGCAAGCCCCAAAGGCCCTGCCATGGTGGTAAGGAGGTGGCTGCCACCGGGGAGCAGACGAGGAAGGGGCATTGCCATGGAGGTTCTTGTAATCATCGATCAAACCTAAAACAGAGTCACAGACTCGATTAAACTGAGAAATAAAATCAGCGACGATACTGGTGGAAAAACCCCAGCCTCCCCCCACTCCCAAGCCCCTGTAGTTTCATGAAGGGCAGCCACCAGACCCTGAGAACCACAGACAATCCAGCCCAATCCCCCTAGGCCTGTCATTCCCACATCAGTCCTCTTTCTGCCTCTTACCCAGAAGGCACTCCTGTAGCACAACAGTCCCTGTTGCCACCTCTGGGCCTACCCCCTTGGAGAGGAAGGTCACTACACAGGAAGAGATCAGCAAGGGCCTGTGCCGTAATGCCTGGACCAGAGGGGACAAGTGAGCCCCAGAGGCCCTCTGGCTTGCCCACACATGAAAAAGGGAACAGGAGTGCACTTTAATCATCTCCAAGGCGCTGGACGGTGGCCTGGTGATGAAACACGGTATTCTGCAAGGCCGGCCCACATGGGAAGGTTGCCAGGTCACATCCGGAGAACTGAGTATGCTGGCACGCACGTACCTGCAACCCAGGGCTAGCTGAAGCAGGGCGTAGACAGCAATTGCAAGACCTGTCAGAGGTGCTGTATCTTGGTCTCTCCTCTGTCTTCCTTGCTCATGGAAGTAAGTAAACTTTAAAGAATAACAAGCCTGGGCTAGTCCACAACCTAATGATTAAAGTTGCTGAACTCTACATGGCTGAATACACGGTTCAAGTCTTCAACCTAGCAGTCTAGAAATACAGGGTGTGGGCCAGCATGCTAAGCTGGCATAATGGTTAAGGCGCTGGACCATATGACCACGGTTCAAGTCCCAGATCTAGCAGCTTGAAACTCACAGAAGGTGCTCGTGCGTGTCCAAAATTCTGAGAGGAGAACGGATGAGAGGGGACTGTGGCGTGGCCATCCCCCCAGGGGGTAACTTCTCACGTTCTATCTCTGTGTCACTCTCTGTCCCTCCAGCGAGCACATGCACCTGTAACAAAAATCTCTCTAAAAAAACACACATATACACAGGGTATGTGGGGCTGGCAGATAGCACAGTGGATGAGGCACTGGACTCCTACATGGCCTTTGAGTCCCAGACCCAGCAGCCCAAAAATCACAACAAATAAATAAATGTTTTAATAAAAGAAGAAAGGAAGGGGGGAAAAAAAAAACAGGTGTGGGGGCCAACAGATGGCACAGAGGTTGGACACTGGACTCCCGCGTGGTCAACAGCAGTTTTGAGTCCTGAACCTGGCAGCTGGAAAATCATGCCAAGCACATGTGAGCATGCCCAAGATCCTGGCAAGGGAAAGAAGGGACTGTGGTGCGGCTATCTCCTCCACCCAAGGGGGTCACTTCTCACTTTCTTACTGTCTCTGTCATCAGTCGCCTCTCTGACAAGCATATGCATCCTATAGCAAAAACCTTAAAAAAAAAGGTGTGTGTATACACACACACAAAATTTAAAAAGGGGGGAACCAGCAGTTAGCATAATGGCTATGTCGCTGGACTCCCACGTAGTCGACCGCGGTTCGCATCCCGGACCCGGTGGCTTAAAACTCACGCCAGACGCGTGTGCATGTGTGCCCAAGATCCTGATAGGAGTATGGAGGAGGGATTGTGGCGTGACCATCCCTCCTGGGGGGTGATTTCTCGCTTTCTGTCTCTATGTCTCTCTCTGTCTGTTTGGCGAGTGCACGCGCCCTATAGCGAAAATCTCTCAAAAAAAAAAATTTAAAAAGGGGGTGGAATGGAGAAGGAATTGTGGCATGACCACACCCCACGAAGGGCATTGTCTCCCTCTGTCTCTCTCAAGTGAGCACACACAACTTTTGGCAAATTTAAAAAAAAGAAGAATCTCCACTGAACTTCACAAAACTGATACATCTGGGCAGTCCAAGTTTGACAACAGAATTAAAACATTATGGCATGGTGGTGAAGAGAGCTAGACCCTACAGGGTTTGAGACCTGGACCACAGCTTGAAAAATGTGTTGGGTGTATGTTTACCCAAAACACTAAAGTGGGAGGGGGGAGTAGAGAAGAAGGGTTATTCTCCATGGAGGAAGTGCCTTTTCTTTCTTTCTTTTTTAATAACTATTTATTTAATTTTATTTATTCATTCATTCATTTCAATTTGACTAGAAGGAGACAGAGAGAAAGCAAGAAAACAAGCCACCAGATCTGGGACTCAAACTGTGGTCGGCCATGTAGGAGTGCTCAGCGCCTTAACCACCACGCCACCTGCTGGTCACCTTTTTAATGAGAGGTTTTTTGTCTTAGGGTGCATACGGTCGTCAGAGACAAACAGAAGTGAGAAACACCCCCAGGAGCGGATAGCCATGCGGCAATCACTTCTCCATTCATCTCTCGGGATTTTGGACAGGCAGGCATACACGCCCAGCGAATTTTATGCTGCCTGGTTCAGTACTCCAACAGTGGCCGCCTAAATGGTCCAGTACTTCCTCCCTCTCTCCAGGGAGCACACATGCCCTCTGGCAAAGATTTTTTTTAAAGAAAACACAGGAAACAGGCTCTTTCCAGCAGCCCTCTCACTACCCTCCTTACAGAAGAGACACCTGGCCCTGGAGTCCCCCGCGGTGCTGCCACGCCCATCGCCCCACTGAGCCACTGGAGAGCACCCTGGGGCGGTCGGCGGCCCGACCGCCAGTTATCCCCCACGTCCCGGCCCGACCAGGGGCACAGACCTGGCGACAGCTCAGCCCGGACAGTCCTGCTTACACTTTCCGAGCCCCCGAGTCTTCTCGTGGCGAGAACGACTTTACCTACGTTTCTGTTCGAAGTTTAGAAGAGCCCACGGGGGTCTAGAAGCACTTGTGGGGACGCCGTGGCAGGCAGGGAGGCCGGCGCGGGGCGGCCCGGA